TTATCCTAACCATTTGCAAGACAATTGTCAGCCCTATCCCAGGTTCCCACCTTCTTCCTTTTTTCTGTTTTTTTTTTTTTCTGGAGAACCCATACCTGGGTTCTTCTCAGAGAACCCAGATCGGGTTCTTGGTGGGTTCTCTTGGAAAACCCAATTTGGGTTCTCCGAGAACCCGACTAGGCTCTCTTGGAGAACCTAGACTCGGGTTCTTCTCGGAGAACCTAGGTCTGGGTTCTCTCCGAGAACCTGAGAGAAAAAAAAGAGGAAGGTGGGAACACAATGAGAGTGAAATGGAGACTTAACGAAATGTGAGAGCTAATGGAAAAAAGAGTATGTAACAAGAGTGTGGTATGGATGAGTGTATGCCAATCATGGTCTTATATATATATATGTATGTATATTAATAATTTGATTGTTATTAATCTTTTTCTCCTTATCCTTATTCCATCAATATATTCTTTCTTAGTCACTCCTTGCATCTCTAGTTATTATTAGGACACTAATTGTTACACTCTTTAATTCAACACACTATACAATACACTTATTAAAAAATTATTATCTTTTAATTTAAAATAAAAAATAGATAAATTTAAAGATACAACAATATTTACGAGATGTAGAAACTAGCTGAATTGATTGTACTCATATGTACTTTAATGGCTAAATTGAAGGGTGTCAAAAAGTGTAGAATTAAAGGATATACCAATCATTTTCCTTTTTTTTTTTTTTTGGATCAACCAAATAAGTTTTATTAATTTGGAGTACAAGAGGTACTCCTACCCATTTACATCAAATTTTACTAGTGCAAAAGAAACATGGCATAGTTACATACCTATTGATTTAACACATAATTCAGGATGACAAATCCAATCATATAAAGAGAACCCACAACCATTAATTGAATCCAATCATTTTCCTTATTATTATATAACATTTTTACTCCAATTTCTCTCTCTCTCTCTCTCCCTCCCTCCCTTGTTGTGTGTATCCTAAAATCATTTAACTTGTTCTCTTAATGAATATATTGAAAGCCTATAACGTCTCTTCCTTTTCCATTTTTCAAATTTTTTTTTTGATCGTTTAGACTTTTGATAAAGAAAATGTCAAAGCATTTTTAGGCTCTTCACATTGACTATTTCTTTAATTTTAGATTCTCTATAGGTGCTCGTACTTCCCACTTATGCTTTGATGGTTTATCTAGAATCCATTTTATACTTTTCAAATTGGTCTTTAAGTTAATATAGTTATTATCAAGTTGATACATATCGGTTATACATACTACAATTTTTAGCTATTCATAAGGACAAAAAATATGTTTATCCAGCATTATTTACATCTTAATCATTTCTTCCTTAGACCCAAAATAATTAATAGAGTAAATAAAAAGGATAATGATTGGTACACATTCTGGTTTAACACACCACCTAACACACTCATTCAAAAATTATTATTTTTTAGTATAAAATTAAAGATAAATAAATTTAAAGATGCAGTTATCTATACAAGATGTATAAAACCAACTTATTTGACTGTATTTATATTATATTTTAATAGCCAAACCAAGATAAGTGTCAAAAAAAGTGTTAAAGTGTGTGTATACCAACCATTTTCCAAATAGGAATCAATTTTTAAAATGCCACTTTAAATATAATATAATGTGTCTCTACACTTACACATTATATAATTGAAGTAGAAGTTGGATTATATATTTGAATAAATTGTTTTCAACCTTAATAATACGTTGAAGTCATATTATTATATGGTAATTGAAGTGAAATTTAAGAACAATTAGTAAGAAATTTAATATAATCAGATTATTAATAATTATTATTATATAGAGAATTAATTTAATAATAAATTATATGTATTGTACTCATTAACAAATTTGAAAGGAAATTAATTTAATTTAATCAGGCTTCAACTCCCTCAATAAATTTTATTTAAGAGATCCATTCAATATTTATTCGAGATTTAGTGAAGATATTAATAATTCTTATAATATAGTTAGATAATATATAATTGTATTTAGATTGAAATATAATTGAAGTAGTTGAAGGTAAATTGAAGAAGAATTGTATTAAAAGAAAATATTATTATTGAAAATATAATATTGAAGAACTTAATGATTATTATTATTGAAAATATAATTAAATTTTAATTTTAATCGTCTCATTGAATATGTATTTAGAATTTATTAAAGATTTTATAATTTTTATAATATAATAAAATTACATGAAATGTTTAATATATGAAATTAAATCAATGGACATTTTAATTAACTTTAGTGAAGTACAAGGCTTATAAAAAAAAATAGTGAAGTACATGCAAGTGCAAGTGCTTCATACTTTTGGAAAAGATATGTTTCATTCCTACTCATTAATGATGAGTGGGTTTTTTTTCTTTTTAATTAACATGAGAGAATGAACCGACCGTATCATTTTGAAATAGAGCATGAGCGTCAACCGGCTTGACTCGAAAGAGTACATGTGAAATATACTAAAAATTTGAGGAGAGTTCTTTTTTTTTTTTTTTTGAACAACAAATGGATAATTCATTGATGAAAACTAAGTACAAGGGGTACTCAAACCCTTAATACAAATACAAAAAACCAGCCCTTCAATGTTAATCCTATCTTTCGAATCTTTACTACTTTCCTCTATAATTAGCTAAAAGGCAAGAAGTAGGGTCAATCATCCAATCCGAAAGACTGAAATAACACCTAGCTTTCCTTGCTTTAATCCAAGCAAAGGATCTCAATTGAATAAGCTCAAAAAGTTTGCTTTTGTTTACCTTTGAATCCTGAAAAACCTTTTCGTTTCGTGCCATCCATATAGTCCATATGACTGTATTCCAGATGCAATCCCACCCTTCTGAAATGTGTGGTTTTGTAGTCCATGTCCCAAAATGTTGAAATGTTGTCCAGCAATCTTTGTGTAGTGTAAAATTTGTTCCCCACCAGCTTGCGTATGCTTGCCACAACCCTCTAGCTACTCTGCATTTTAAGAACAAATGGTCAGCATCTTCAGTCTCTTCCTCACATAAGACACACTTTTCTTCTACCATGTCTTTGATAATTCCCTTTTTGATCAGGTTTAACTTAGTTGGGATTCTGTCCAGCAATGTTTTCCAGTTAAATGCAGCCACTTTACTAGGGACGATGGGGTTCCAAACCCTTTTAAAAATTTTTGCTTCCTCTGGGTTCTTCCTTGGCATTGATAGCCTTTGATAAGCTATTTTTGTTGAATATTGGCCTTCCTTGTTGTGGCTCCATTCCCATCTATTTAGGCAGCT